ATTTTTTTCTGTTAATATTTTTTTTACAGCTGTGCAGAAAATAAAAAAAATGCAAGATATACAGTACTCTTGCGTTTGATTATTTTCTGTACAGAACTCATTATATAGCACCATGTGACATAACATATTTACATGTAACCAGAGTCAAATTATACTTGTGGCTTTTGGAAGTACCCAGTGATAAGACATAGATAGTGGGTGATTATATAAGGAGAAAGGTCATTTTTGTCTACGCAACAAGGAGAGTGCTTCTTAAAATAACAAGTTTAATTTTCATATCAACTACAATAGGGTATGTATGTACACCGGCCTGTCTATCATTGCATATTTCCGATGTTTGCTTGCTTAAACGACAGTAATGGTGATGTTATTCGGCAATGATAGTTGTGGTGGTGTCATACAGCATCAGTATTCAGAATGTGATATCCCTACCCAGCTTGGTTAAACATGAGAGATTTTACATCAAGTTCACCTTGTTTGCCAAATTGGGCTGCTTTATGTTTTACTAATTCAACTTTATGCATTAAATAGTCTAATTTTATTCAAGATGTTTATCATAGGGAATGAGGTTTGACTTTATAAAAATTATTATATATTTTTTTTCTGTTCAAATGTTGATTATTGCACACAGAAATGTGCTTTTTGAATTTTGCCATTCCTAGTTGACTTGTTCAATTTTTTTGTAAATTTTGACTTTGCAATGATTTACAAATCACTCCTGTGGTTATACATTTATAGTCCAAGGACATTCCTTTTTGATTGGAGGTTCTTTTGTATTTTATTTGATAAACATACAATATGCAAATTTTAGTCTGTTTTTACACAAGATTGGTGCATGAAAATTCCTGTGATTTTTTTTAAGGAAATGTTTTTCATCTTGTTTTCTATAAAGTTTTTTGACTAGTTTAGCAATAATAAATAAGGATGTTTAAGTAGTGCCAAGAAGATAATTCTTGATGGTAATTTCTTTTGTTATAAACAAAAATCTGGAGCAGTTCTAGAGAACAGTCCCAACTGGTACTACATCTGTGAAGTCTTCCTTTCTCTCTATAAGTGGATGGTAACATAAAAACAAGTTAAAATGAAAATTTGTGCTGTAAGCTGACGAGACCTAATTTTAAGGATAGCAAGATAGTCATTCTATTTTGACATGCCTTTTCGTTACTTTGTGCTTTGGATGCAGTAGATCTTTTATTATCAAACAAATTATTTTGTAGAGTTTTTCACCAAGGACTACAAAAATTTTTAAACAAAGTACAAAGCATTATGAAAGGATTATCTAAAGAGGTCAGCTACTTGTTTAAGGATATTACTGTGGTATTACTGATGTATTTCACAATAATGACTCCAGATTGTCATGAAAGTCTAAAACAATGCTCCAGATAGTAAGTCATGTAATTACTAAACAATTTTTCTCCAATCAAAAAGGAATGCAGAAATATACATTAACAAGTATTGATGATATATCTATATATACATATATTAATATACATATTACTATTTTTGAAAATCAGCTGTAATTTCCTATTGTTTATGTCCAGGAAATTGTATGCAAGTGGAATAAAGGTGTTTATTTGAAAATCATTTGCTTTTGTTTCTTGACATTGGTGAACAAGGTGGTTGAGAACCATTTATGTAGATTTAACTCAGGTGAGTTAAGGGGTGTGTCCCTGAAAGATTGCTAGAGGTCTCATCTAAAAAAACATTTTAACTCAGCTCTTTGGTGAGTTAAGGGGTGTGTCGGTGTGCATTAACTTTTTAGAAAGATTGCTATTGAGGGTTCTTCATTGTGCCAGCGCCTACCATGACATGAGACTTGGGTTTGAAGGTCTCATCTAAAAAAACATTCACTTAACTTCAAAGTGCCAAGCTCTTTGTGTAGGAACAGTTGCTTTATTTTATTTTATTAGCGACTTGTCTGATTGATTACACAACCCTTCCCTCACTAAGAGGGCCGTGAAATATGAAAGTCATAGGGCCACTAAATCAAAAGTTATGGGCAAGATTAAAGTTTTTGCATACAAACGGATGGACACAACAAAAACTCTTTGATAACGGGGGCATAATTTTTTTTTAGCTCACCTGAGCCGGAGACTCGACATTTTATTATCTCCGGTACTTATTGGCTTAGAATCATTATACTTTGTCAGTTGATGCATCTTGGGTTTTCGGAGAATGTTGACCAAAAAGTAGGTCACGGTGACCTACTTTTAACATTTTATGGCTATATTTATGTATCTTAGGTATTTATTGGCCTAGAATCATCAAACTTTGTGAGCTTTTCACGGTGACCTACTTTCGACATTTTATGGCTATGATCACTATTTTGTCCAAAATGTAGGTCACGGTGTCTGTAAACTTTTCACATTTTCGACTTCTCAAGAACCATTGGGTCAATTTTGACCAAACTTGGTACAGACCTGTTTACTCTTATGATTTGGCCGTATTTTGTACGGATTTTGTCTAAAATACGTCTCACGTTTTGCCATTATGAAAATATTGAAATCTGAAATATGTTAGTTTTGGTTATGATCTGTCTTAGTTTTACCCTATTTATCGCGAAATAAGATAAAGATTTCAAACACATAAGCGATTTCAGGTTGCCAAAACGCTGTGGTATTATGAAATGACAAAGACCTTGTTGTTAAACCATGTTTTTGTAATCAGAAAAGCAGTTTTTCTCTCTTGATATATGTAAAATTGATGGAAAGTGAAATCTTAACTGGCAAATGCCAAATCTCACGAACAAATCAAATAAAAAATACTGAGAGACAGCGTTATGGGTAAACAGGTCTGTTGGTACAAAGCATCCTTGGGTAAAGAGGAATTGAAATTATTAAAATGAGGGGCCAAGTCCCCTCACAAGGGGAGATAATCAAGAAAAAGACAAAAAAAGGGTTGGGTCATTAAAAAATCTTCTTCTCAAGAACCACCGGGCCAGAAAAGCTGAAACTTATGTGGAAGCATTCTGGGGTAGTGTAGATTCTAAATTGTTCAAATCATGACCCCCGGGAGTAGGGCGGGGCCACAATGGGGAATCAAAATTTTACATAGAAATATATAGAAAAATCTTTAAAAATCTTCTCAAGAACCACTTGGTCAGAAAAGCTGAAACTGATGTAAAAGCATTATGGGGTAGTGTAGTTTCTAAATTGTCTAAATTATGTTTAGTGGGGAAGGGTGGGGTCACAATATGTATTACAAGGGGGAAATCTGGTAAAGAACAGAATGGTCAAAGCTTCTCAGGTGAGTGATGTGGCCCATGGGCCTCTAGTTTTTGAAAATCTTGGGTATTTAGCAGAGAAGTACCTTTGCAATATTCATTCTATTGATTAGTGGACAGGAGGGCACAATAAGGACCCTATTTGATATTCAGATTGATAAAAATTTGAATTAAAATAATGCAGTTGTTCATCTTTTATTTAAATGCATGTAATAAAGTTTTCCTGCCATACAATGATGTACCACTAATAAATGTACAGTAAAAACCATTTGTCAAAATAAGATGTACTACCCATGTAATTGCAAATTCTCAAAAGGTCAGGAGAGCTTTGCTTCCTGGCCTCAACTGTACAACGTCCTTGAGCTGCTTCTGACCACAAAGTTACTCGGAACCCTCGTCATCTAATACAGCCCCCCTCTCCCACATCTGTCATGTATAAACATACAGTGTACTTAGTTGGCACTTGGTTACACACTCAGCTGCAACTCGGGAAATAGGCTTGCCCTGGAGACTGGAATTTTGCCGAATCCCTCAATGAGATACTGCACATTATCATTTATGCAACCCAGCATTTGGTTGATGATGATCTATCAGCTATTGATTCACCATGGTTGACAGGTTAAATATGGAAGTAATGATGCATCTTGCAGTCTTAAAAAAGATGTCCCTCAATTGCTTGAGACATTGCCTTGCATTATAAGGTACATGTTTACAATGAAATGCAATAATCATTAAAAAAAAGAAAACAAACATGGATGAATATTTCAATAAATGTTGCAATTTTTCATCTATCAAAGAGAAATCTAGTTTATAATTAAATCATATTTAAGGAACTGCAACACAGATAATACATGTAATACAGTCAGATTTTGTTTACAATCCAACACAGATGACAGCTCTTTTCAGAAGTTTTTATGCAGGTATCGTTTCAACAAAAATATGGTTTAAAATAAACACAAAAGAGGTTATTCCAACTTACTAAATATAACAAAATTCTCTATGTCTAGGTGTTTAAGATATTAAAATTTAGTATATAAGCCAGACCAGACTACATTTCTTAGGTCAGACACGGGGATTGAATCAAGTTAAAAATTTAAAAGTTGTTTATACATGTGAAAATTTTAAGGTAGTCCGATCATCAGGTTCATAAAATTAGCAGTTAAGTAATTGAAAATACTCATAAAAATATCTCTGAATCCACAGAGTAACGTAAATTTACCCACAGTATTCCTTTAAAGTTAAACATTAAAGTTATTCATATTATATAGGGAAAATTGTCAAATCTCAAATATATATTCAGAAAAAGCAAATAGGAATATCAGTTATGCATTTTCTAATTGCAAGTTGATTAACAAATATATTTTTGGTTAATAAACAATAGGTACCCAGGCATTCTGAGAAACTCATGATTTTTATACTTATTTGATGTTCTATGTCTTCTATTTCCTTCTTGTATTATATAATACATAGGGTAAAAGGCTTTTGCTACCATTGCAAGACATCATAAATCACTTCTAATTTCATATCATTCTAATAAGCATTAGTATCTAAGGCTTGATTCAAGAAAATCTTACTTTTCTAAAACTGTATTTATTTTTTTTTTCCTTTTATGAGGTACAAATGTCAACTTTTTATAAGACTTTTTTCTAAGACTTCCATAAACCTTGAATCATATTAAGATGAATAGGATAAAAATTGTTGCATGAAAAGTGTTCATTTTCAAGCCTCATATTGATGCTTTTTAAATTAAATATTAATTTTTGTAGTTATCCTTCCTGGCTGAGGATCGGATATCCTTAAGATGCAAATAATGAATTAAGGTGAAAACATAGTACACTCCTTTGATTGCTTGTAAAATCAAGATGTGTTTGTGAAACACTGATGCCCCTGTATGACAGCTTATGGCGATGGTAGAAGTTTCTCAAATGCAACTCCAAAGGTCAAAAGATTAAAAGTGTTGGTACCCAAATGAAGGTCTTGTCACAAGAAATAGACCTGTGAAATGTGAATGCCATAACCCCACCCACTCAAAAGTTATGGATAATTAAAATTTTTGCAGACAGACAGATGGATAGGGCAAAAGCTGTATACACCCATATCTTCAATGATGGGGGGCATAAAATTACTGCTATCACAGGTGTCAAAAGAACAGTCATGTTTTCTTCACCAGTTGAACATCCATAAATAATAAATAAATGTCTTAAATATTACATATACATACATATATTTTAAAATGCATAAAAATTGTGTCAAAGTCATCACATACAATATTACAAATGACTCTGTATCCTGAGCTGATGATGTTTTACATTAATAACATTGCGATACATTGATAAGGTTCCAGTGATGGAGTGGAGGAGGATCAGTGTCACTCTTTGTGATGTGATCGACTTCTCTCAGCTTTCTGTGCTTGCTGACTTTGTAGAAATCTTATGACCTCTGGTGACCTCATCAGCTCCTACAATATTAGGAGGAAATAGATCTCACTTTTAATATACGATATTACAGCTTATATATATTAGCAGCACTACTTTCGTGTAAAAATTCTTTAAAGATAAAACATGACAAGGGTGAAATCTTTTAAAGTGTCATCAAATTTTTAACCTACCTACCAAAAAAACCCCTGTTATTACAAATTTTGTATATTTATATATTTAGTAGTCTAGTCCCCATGAATTTTTTTTTCTTCAATTCTGTTAGGCTTAAAACTGAATTATTTCATACTGTTGGACTATAATTTGGTATTAATGTCCTTTCTATATAGCTAACCAGTTTCATGAACAATCTGAAAAACAGGTGAATTTAGGTGTTTGAAAAATAATAATAGACATTTCTAAGTAATATATATATTTGTGTTTGCGAACCAGTTTTTTCTGGGCCAGAACATCATCCAGAAGACTAGGTCGAAGTCCCGGGTCAGACGAGTCATAACCTTCACCTTTAGGAGCAAACTCGGACTGCAGCACAGAAACCTGAAAGGTAGAAGCCAAGGGAGATTACTGCACATACTTGACATCAATATTTGATCTTTTATTATCAATTTAATCATTAAATATTTTAATATACAAAAAACTTCAAAAGGATTTGGGAAGAGGCTTTCTTTGGTGGAAGCTTTACTACCACGAAATATTTGTCCTGGTTCCCAAAATTTTGGCTCAACCGTATATATGAGTACCTTTGGTTTGTCTTTGCCTTTGGATTCCTGCTGAGCTAAGTCTGAATTATCTCTGTCATATTTTGTTCCGACAGACCTGCTGGATTCTTCCTGATCCTGAGCCTCCATTTCAAACAATGACACAGTTACAGCGAAAACGTAGAACGTGAACAGCTGTAACACAATCAAAAACCTAATTGAATTTGAGCACATTTTCCCTGAAGTCTAAAAGAATAGGTACCGACTTCAACAATACCCATACATATCTATGTATGTATGAATACTTTACTCTTTTAAATATTACTTAATATCAAATTAATTATCTTTTTATTGTGTAAGTATAAACAATTAAGATGAACTCTGTAAATCTTTAACAAATGGAACAATTTAAGAATAGTTGTATATATCTTCGCTATGAGGGTCATTTATAAAATATAGCAATTGTAGAAGAAAAGGTGTAACTAAGATACACGACTCTTCACCATTAAAAAAAAAATTAGAACAGCAAGACCTTCCTTATTTTCCAAATTGGCTACTCACTCAAAATAGAAAAGGTAACCCTTGATAATATTGATTGTGAAACATTTGTACTGAGTATGCTTCATAAATTGCCGTTAACTGCACTTCAGATGACAGAATTAGATTGGTCTCTAACACATTTATGGCTATCTAAATCAACACTGTCCAAACAGCCCACTCTCCAAATGATATAATAAGGATGACTTGTAAAACTTTCAATGTGAACTTAAAAGCCTACAGAAAATTTTTGCATATTTTCATTCAAGCAATAAAAGGGAATTAAAGTAAGCATGTCTGAAATATAATATAATAAAAAAACAAGTTCAGAAACTTTACCTTTACGCTTTTCTTTTTTTAAAAATGCTTTTCCTTTAATGCTTCCTTTTTATCCTTTACCTTTAATGTATTATCGTTTATACTTTAATTTTATGCTTGACTTTTGTTTTATTTTTTCCTTTATGCTTTAAGTTTTTCTTTTCCTGCTTATCTTTATGTTTTATTTTTCCTTTACAGTTTACCTTAATGCTTCACAATCATGCTTGACCTTTATGCTTTAGCTTTTCCATTATGCTTGACCTTTATGCTTCATCTTGATGTTTTTATTTTATGCTTTACCTTTATGCTTTACTTTTTGAATTTCTTTTTCTGCTTCACCTTTATGTTTTACTTTAATGCTTTACCTAAATGCTTCAACATTATGCTTTACCTAAATGCTTCACCATTTTGCTTTACCTTTATGCTTTTTCCAGTTCAACCTTTGACAGAGCAGCTACTTCTTCACCTTCGAGAAAATCATCCTGTAAAACAATTAATGCACCTTCATTTTGATTTTAAATAACTTATTTACCGAAACAATTCAAAAGCATTGTACATTGTGTTTATAAATGTGTAAGGACTTATTTTCTTAGTATATTCCAGTCATAATTGGAAAAGTTATCATTATTACACTTACTTAAAATTATACATTTAACCCATCTATTTGAAGGTTTCGAACATTCAAAAGACATCATGCAAGTTTAAATTTTAAAAAAGAGGTTTAAATTTGTATATGATTTATTCGAATTTATAACAATTTTATGAGATAATTTTAGATTCTTGAACCATGCACTGTGGTCTGGAATGTCTAAGAAGGGATAATGTTTATTACTGTCAAACAACTTATGTGCAACTTTTGACAGCTACAATTTATTTTTCCTCTTCTATGCACATTAAATTGAAATTAATGTCAGCTCAAAATTTACTTTTCTCTCTTTTAATATCACTCAAAGATTAAAAGAATATTTAGAAATGTTATCAAGTAAAGCATATAATTTGGAGTGCAAATCAAAAGAATATTTATGATTCCTGTGAATCAGGATTTATCACAGTTCTTTCCCTTTGATCACTGTAGACAAATACCCAGATTATGCCTACCCGTTATCTTGTACCTAAATACAGGTAACTTAAATGACTGAATATAATTCAAACAGAAAATAGCACAACTATAATTTTAAATGTGTCAAACTGTTTTGATAATAAGCCAGAATGTAACAATTTGGATTGAACAATTTATAAAAAATTTTTTTATAATAATGAAACAATTGATGTTACTTACAATATCATATATCACTTTAATTAACAGGGAGCAACTGGGACACTTGGCAACGTCTTCACCACTGGCTAATTCTTCCTGTAAAACCAGAAAATAAAGTTAACAATTTCAACATGAGCTAAATTTTCTGTAAAACCAGAACATACTGTAAACAAATATCTTCACTACAAGCTAATTCTTCCTGTAAAACCAGAACATACTGTAAACAAATGTCTTCATTACTAGCTAATTCTTCATGTAAAACCAGAACATACTGTAAACAAATGTCTTCACTACTAGCTAATTCTTCCTGTAAAACCAGAACATACTGTAAACAAATGTCTTCACTACTAACTAATTCTTCATGTAAAACCAGAACATACTGTAAACCAGAACATACTGTAAACAAATGTCTTCACTACTAGCTAATTCTTCCTATAAAACCAGAACATACTGTAAACAAATGTCTTCACTACTAGCTAATTCTTCCTATAAAACCAGAACATACTGTAAACAAATGTCTTCACATACTAGCTAATTCTTCCTGTAAAACCAGAACATACTGTAAACAAATGTCTTCACTACTAGCTAATTCTTCCTGTAAAACCAGAACATACTGTAAACAAATGTCTTCACTACTAGCTAATTCTTCATGTAAAACCAGAACATACTGTAAACCAGAACATACTGTAAACAAATGTCTTCACTACTAGCTAATTCTTCCTATAAAACCAGAACATACTGTAAAGAAATGTCTTCACTACTAGCTAATTCTTCATGTGAAACCAGAACATACTGTAAACAAATATCTTCACTAGCCTACAAGCCAATTCTTTATGTAAAACCAGAACATACTGTAAACAAATGTCTTCACTACTAGCTAATTCTTCCTATAAAACCGGAACATACTGTAAACAAATGTCTTCACTACTAGCTAATTCTTCCTGTAAAACCAGAGCATACTGTAAACAAATGTCTTCACTACTAGTTAATTCTTCTGTAAAATCAGAAAATACTGTAAATAAATGTCTTCACTTCTAGCTAATTCTTCATGTAAAACCAGAACATACTATAAAGAAATATCTTCTTTACTAGTTAATTCTTCATGTAAAACCAGAACATACTGTAAACAAATGTCTTCAACACTAGCTAATTCTTCTTGTAAAACCAGAAAATGAAGTTAACAATTTCAAAATGAGCTAATTTTTCTGTAAAACCAGAACATACTGTAAACAAATGTCTTCATTACTAGCTAATTCTTCATGTAAAACCAGAACATACTGTAAACAAATGTCTTCACTACTAGCTAATTCTTCATGTAAAACCAGAACATACTGTAAACAAATGTCTTCACTACTAGCTAATTCTTCCTGTAAAACCAGAACATACTGTAAACAAATGTCTTCACTACTAACTAATTCTTCATGTAAAACCAGAACATACTGTAAACCAGAACATACTGTAAACAAATGTCTTCACTACTAGCTAATTCTTCCTATAAAACCAGAACATACTGTAAACAAATGTCTTCACTACTAGCTAATTCTTCCTATAAAACCAGAACATACTGTAAACAAATGTCTTCACATACTAGCTAATTCTTCCTGTAAAACCAGAACATACTGTAAACAAATGTCTTCACTACTAGCTAATTCTTCCTGTAAAACCAGAACATACTGTAAACAAATGTCTTCACTACTAGCTAATTCTTCATGTAAAACCAGAACATACTGTAAACCAGAACATACTGTAAACAAATGTATTCACTACTAGCTAATTCTTCCTATAAAACCGGAACATACTGTAAACAAATGTCTTCACATACTAGCTAATTCTTCCTGTAAAACCAGAACATACTGTAAACAAATGTCTTCACTACTAGCTAATTCTTCCTGTAAAACCAGAACATACTGTAAACAAATGTCTTCACTACTAGCTAATTCTTCCTGTAAAACCAGAACATACTGTAAACAAATGTCTTCACTACTAGCTAATTCTTCATGTAAAACCAGAACATACTGTAAACAAATGACTTTACTACGAGCTAATTTTTCTGTAAAACCAGAACATACTGTAAAGAAATGTCTTCACTACTAGCTAATTCTTCCTGTAAAACCAGAACATACTGTAAACAAATGTCTTCACTACTAGCTAATTCTTCTGTAAAACCAGAACATACTGTAAACAAATGTCTTCACTACTAGCTAATTCTTCCTGTAAAACCAGAGCATACTGTAAACAAATATCTTCACTACAAGCTAATTCTTCATGTAAAACCAGAACATACTGTAAACAAATGTCTTTACTACTAGCTAATTCTTCCTGTAAAACCAGAACATACTGTAAACAAATGTCTTCACTACTAGCTAATTCTTCCTGTAAAACCAGAGCATACTGTAAACAAATGTCTTCACTACTAGTTAATTCTTCTGTAAAATCAGAAAATACTGTAAATAAATGTCTTCACTTCTAGCTAATTCTTCATGTAAAACCAGAACATACTATAAAGAAATATCTTCTTTACTAGTTAATTCTTCATGTAAAACCAGAACATACTGTAAACAAATGTCTTTACTACTAGCTAATTCTTCCTGTAAAACCAGAACATACTGTAAACAAATGTCTTCACTACTAGCTAATTCTTCCTGTAAAACCAGAGCATACTGTAAACAAATGTCTTCACTACTAGTTAATTCTTCTGTAAAATCAGAAAATACTGTAAATAAATGTCTTCACTTCTAGCTAATTCTTCATGTAAAACCAGAACATACTATAAAGAAATGTCTTCTTTATTAGCTAATTCTTCATGTAAAACCAGAACATGCTGAAAACAAATGTCTTCACCACTGGCTAATTCTTCTTGTAAAACCAGAAAATGAAGTTAGCAATTTCAAAATGAGCTAATTTTTTTGTAAAACCAGAACATACTGTAAACAAATGTCTTCACTACTAGCTAATTCTTCCTGTAAAACCAGAGCATACTGTAAACAAAAATCTACTTTACTATCTAATTCTTCATGTAAAACAAGAACATACTGTAAACAAATGTCTTCACTACTAGCTAATTTTTCTGTAAAACTGGAACATGCTGTAAACAAATGTCTTCACTACTAGCTAATTCTTCTGTAAAACCAGAACATACTGTAAACAAATGTCTTCATTACTAGCTAATTCTTCCTGTAAAACCAGAACATACTGTAAACAAATGTCTTCACTACTAGCTAATTCTTCATGTAAAACAAGAACATACTGTAAACAAATGTCTTCACTACTAGCTAATTCTTCCTGTAAAACTAGAACATGCTATAAACAAATGTCTTCCCTACTAGCCAATTCTTCCTCTAAAACAAGAACATACTGTTCACAAATGTCTTCAATTCATCCAGTAATACTGGAACATGTTGTTGACCTTTTTATAAAGCAACAACTTTTATTTGCCATTGGTCAGTTTGAAACCTCTCAAGGACAACTTATTTTTTGTAACTAAGGAAATATTCTGCATGGGCAACAATGCTCAACTGAAAACCTTAAGCTCTATTAATAGTTCAGGAGATTTTTAAAAAAAAATATTTTTACAATCCCATGAAAAAATTGTGACCCCATTTTATGACACTACTCTGACTCTAAAGATCACTGAATTCACACAATATGAAGATAGAAAGCTCTATCGTTACAGGTAAAATGATATTTTCTTAAGAGCCCCAGCTTAATGATAGAACTCGTTTGGTGTATTTGCTATAGAGCAGAATAAACATAGGCAATAACTCCAATTAAGTGCATTTACTATGAACAATCTAGAGAGTTCCAACTGTAAACATGGGAATAAATTTGAAGCGAGAAAAAATGTTGCGAAAATAAGTTAAATTTTTGTCTTTCTATGGATTATTGTTTTAATTAGGATAAAAGCCATCTCAGAAAGGTTTGTTTTGATTAATTTGGTAGTATTTTTCAGTGCAATCCCTTTTGTATTCTTCAAAATTGTTTCGGGGCAGATCCACTCTGATTTGCTGAATTGCAGCTAAATGGGATCATATTCTTTCTTACTGTAGTGAGGGCTTATAACAAGAAACAGTTTGATTATTCGAACTACACAACATGCAGATGTTTCAATATCTTTATCACTATCATGGCCTTGCAGATATGGAGAAAACCTTTCCAAAATACTGTAAAACTTAATATACTAATACAGGTCCCCTTTTTTACATATTAATAATACTTAATAGCGAGCCCAGAAAGCTCTAGGCTCTCACACGACTTTTTGGGACTGGGGCCGGGGCCGTTCAAATTGGGAAAATTATCATCATTTTGGGAAAAGTTGGATAACCAAATTTTTTAAAAAAAATTCTTAAATTTGGCTTTTCTAGCATTTTGTCATCAATTTAACTCCGGTTTTGAATAAACAGTTAAAGAGAACAAACATGGTTTAATACGTAGGCTATTTTTGAAAGTACATTAGCTTTGTCATTACTATCTTTTAGTGTTGATATTGCGATTATATGTCTTTCTGAGTGACAGTCGCTAGTCACATAGTCCCGAATTTCCTCGATCACATGGACAACTTTGCTTACCAATACAGCACGAGACTGATCATGCCGAAGCGTGGGTATGTTTCTAGGTGCAGCTTACTAATGTTTAAATGAAATGTCTATATTTGAAACCAAAATGATTTTTTTTGTCGAAACTAGATGACAAGATACCCTGCACTCATAGTTAGTACAAATTTTTGTAAAAACTAACCTGGTTCCCCGAACCAGTTTACGAATGCATTTGACGCGAACTAATAAAATAGTAGTACAGTTTCACTTTCATTTGCAAGTGTGTTTTTTTTTTTTTTTTTTTGCGATTAAGTTTCATGGACTTTTATTTTTTAATTAATATTTTGTTATAGAAATTGGGAAATTTACACCTTTCTTTTGGGAAAAAAGGTACCTTTTTTGCATTGGGAATGGGGCCGAATATCGGCCCCAGATTTAGAGAATTGAGAGCCCTGGCTCTAACCACAATGCCTGGCTGAAGAGAACATTAGGACTACTGTACATTCATTCAATAGAATTTTTTACAAAGTGCTGTAGATTCCTTATTCTTTGTGTGTACTTTTTATCATGGGTAGGCTCTTCAACGTCAAAGCAAGAACAATAATTCGCAAATGGACAGTTGATCAGGAGATTTAACATAGATTTCTGCCCCATAAAAATAAAGGCAAGTAATTTTATTTCACGTGTGGTGCTTCTCCCGAAATTGCGCGATAATCAATTCCGCATGTATATTTAGGAATTTACAGTAACTTTGGACCCACAATCATCACTTGTTAGAGCAATGTTTTCGTGAGAATAACTACAAAAGTTCAACAAAAATTAAACTCACCCTGATTAAATGAATATATTGCAGATTAATATTAATAAAACATTCTTGACATTTTAAAAAATCAGCACTGGTCAGCCTTCCATTTAGAAATGCAACGGAAATTATTGGCTCCCCAGTGAAAAGGTTGTCACCGGTTACAAATGAACTTAGGTGAAAGTCAGTACTAATTTCTTGCCATATATGGAAGTTAAATCACTATTCACTATTTGATGTCTCTGCCCAGCCTGACCGATAGGTCCCCTTCTTTACAAGACCAATTCTTACGTTTTTCAGTTAGTTTACCTTTGTTATTTCGAATCGATCACCACAGGGACATGGGTAATAATAAGTTTCAGTATCCTCATCATATTCCATGTCTTCTATTTCAATTTCATCGTGGAAAACTGACATTCTCTGTCCAAAACCATGTGTGCAATACCGGATAACATTATATGTACATAAAACGAGAACCAATTTTGAATGTCACTTAATTCCGGAATACTTACAGAATCAGAAGAAGCCAACGAACTCCTCTCCTCGGCTCCTTCATTCTATCAAAAGTATTTTTGTTCCTTATCCACATTTTGTCAAATAGGCCTATTGATTCATTTTCTAGAAGATCTAGTACATCTAGGGACGTAGAATCTTTTTTTAAAGGAAGGAGAGGGGAGGGGCGACCAGAAAAAGGAAAACTTGTCCAAACACGAAAATCCAATTCCTTGGAAGGGAGGAGGGGGTAGGATCGAACTTCTTTCAGCACTTTTTTTCTTCAAACACTACTACATTATCCATATTTAACTATACTACAACAAAAAAAGTGGGCAGCCGGCCTTTTTATTTGGGGGGGGGGGATGGGGGTGGCAGCCCTCTTTGCTCCCACTCCTCGCCTGTAGATTATAAAAATTATGGGCTCATGGCTGATGAGATGCATTCGCTATGTGCAGGTACTTGGTGGATGGACCCCCTTTTCATTTTTTACTTTTAAATCTTGGATCGACACATCTTTTTCTTTTTTATGCCCCCGTAAACGAAGTTTAGGGGGTATATGATTTTTGTCATGTCCGTCCGTCTGTCTGTCTGTCTGTTTGTCCGCAAAAACTTTTAACCTTGCCCATAACTTTTGATTTAGTGGAGCTATGACTTTCATATTTCACATGTGTATTCCTTGTGACAAGACCTTTCTTTGGGCACCACCAAATTTGACCTTTTGACCTTGACCTCGGAGTTTGATCCACTTTTACACAAAAATTCCAAACTTTTTTGGGCCATATCTTTTGAACAGTAAATATCACGACATTTATACTTCACATATATATTCTTTGTGGAAGGACGTTTCATTAGATGCCAACAACCATGACTTTTTGAACTTGACCTCGGAGATTGCTTCCTTGTGAAAAAAAACTTTAACCTTGGCCATAACTTTCGAACGGTAAGGGATAGGGCTTTCATACTTCATATATGTAATTCTTGTGAGAAGACCCTTTATTGGATACCAAGAACTTTGACCCTTTGACCTTGGAGTTTGACCTTCTTTTAAAAAACAAACCTTGACCATAACTTTTCAAGGGTTAGGGCTAGTGCATTCATATTTTATATATTTCATCCTTGTGACAAGATCTTTCTTTGGGTACCACCAAATCTGACCCTTGGACCTTGACTTAAATCTCAATATTGGAAAACTTGACCATAAGTTTTGATGGGTTAGGGCTAGTGCTTCCATACTTTATATACTCAGTATGTATTTTTTGTGGCAAGACCTTTCATTAGATACCAATAACCTTGACCTTTTGACCTTGACCTTGGAGATTTCTGCACTTATGAAAAAACTTTAACCTTGGCCATAACTTTTGAACGCTAAGGGCTAGTGATATCATACTTCACATATGTAATCCTTGTGAAAAGACCTTTCATTTAATATCAAGAATTATGACCCTTTGACCTTGACCTTGGAGTTAGACCTACTTTTTAAAATCGATAACCTTGGCCACAACTTTTGAAGAGTTTGGGCTAGGGCTTTCATACTTCACATGTGTTTTCTTTGTGGCAAGACCTTTCACTGGATACTTATGGCCTTGAACTTGGAGATTTCAGTACTTATGAAAAAAATTTAACCTTGGCCTACTTTTATATTTCACAATTGCATTTCCAGTGAGAATACCCTACATTGGATACCAATATATTGAATTTGCATAAAAGAAAGGTTTAACTTTCACTATGTTGCCATACGGGGGCATCAGTGTTTCACAAACACATCTAGTATTCTGAAATGCACTACTGGATACCGATAATATATTCCCGACATAATCTGTTTTTAAATATATCATAGATATAATGTGTAAATCTTGATTGAGAAAGATATAAAAATAAGTGGGAAAATGGATACCCCCCCCCCCTTAGTTTCCCAGAAATATTTCCTTAATGGAAAAAGGTGAAGATAACGAACAGTGATTGATTTCATAATAACCACAAATAATACAAATCTGTCAACAGGGCAAAAGGCGGACCTACGGAAGTTCCCGAGCCTGAGAGGTGGAACCAGGTGCTAAGGAGGCGTAAGTATATACCCTGTCGACCGGTAATACCCGTAATAAAGGACCGGTAATACCCATAATAAAGGACCGATAATACCCGTAATAAAGGACCGGTAATACCCGTAGTGAAGGCCTAACAATTAGTATTCATGAAAGAAGTCAGCCAATATATTACCCAGTGATAAGAAATATTTGCTAACAAGGTCATTAAAACGACCACCAAATTTATGCAATGCTGATTGTATACGTAGTTGTTGGAATCCCTGTACCACCAGCTTATGTGTGAGTATCCTGTCTCCATTTAAAAATGGTACTCAAGCAAGCACCAAACGTTCTTTTAATCCTACCAAATCTGCTGGGAACCTGGGGGAAAAATCTTGGTCCTGGTAACCTACTTCTAGATTATAGACTTAAATTTATATTCATTCTAAATTCTGGTCACAATGTCAACATATATTTGCCTCGGTTGGTTCAGAGTTATGAGTCTGAGTATTAACATCATGTCCAGTTACAGTATATGAGTAGCCACTCGTGAGTACACTATTATGAGCGCCTCCAACAATGGACAACACAAAGCTCAATCTCCCGAGGACTCATTCACCTCAACCCCAACAAGGCCAGACTCTAGTTAAAAGAAAAAAAAGAAGAAGAAACTACGTGTATATTAAACTACAGTTTTTTTCCCAAGGATAATATCTGTTTGAGTAATTTGTATCAATAAGAAAATAGAATAGCATAAAGCAGGTTGATTTAAAATGAAATGAAGAAAGAAATTAAATGGTGGTGTAAACTTAGCGAATGTTTGTAACGTAGGAGGTACGATGAGGCAAGAGTTATACTCCCTAGTTAAGGTAGTCCGATCCTTAGGTTTATAAAATTAGCAGTTAAGCAATCAAAAATACTCATAAAAGTATCTCTGAATCCACGAAGTTATGGAAATTTATCCACAGTATTTCGTTAAATTTAAAGATTAAAGTTAATCATATTATATGGGGAAAATTGTCAGATCTCCAATATTTCTGCAGAAAGAGCGAATTGGAATATCAGCAATGCATTTTTTAATTGCAAATAGATCAACAAATATATTTTAGGATAAAAAAAGATAGGTATCCAGGCATTCAGAGAAATTGTCATGATTTTTATACTTATTTGGTATTTTTTCTCTTTTATTTCCGTCACGTATTCTATAATACATAGTGTAAAAGGCTTTTGCTATCATTGCAAGACACCACAAGTCACTTCTTATTTCATATCACGCTAATAAGCATTGGTATCTAAAGCTGGAATCAAGAAAATCTTATTTCTCTAAAACTGTATTTTCCCCTTTTATAGGATACAAAAGTCAACTCTTATAAGACCTTCTCTAAGACTTCCAAAAAACCTTGAATCTTATAAAGATGAATAAAATGAAAATTGTTGCATGAAAAAAAAAATATTTTCAAGCTTCATTTTGATGCATTTCAAATTAAATATTAATTTTTGCAGTTATCCTTCCTGGCTGAGGATCGGATATCCTTAAAACAGTTAAATATTGTACATACTCACTATAATGAGTAATCTTTTTATCCTTCTCTCTCCAATAAAATTGACCGTGTATATAGTGACCATGTTAAATTACACAATCATAATTAGAGCACGGTTATCGTTTTAACATTTGTGTTGTCTTCGTCACGTTGGTCTCACAAAGTCGCGAAAACAAAGGAAACATTTCTTCTTAATATCTTAATGTACTTATCTATTAACTAATGTATCTCTCGGAAAAAGAAAGAAACATGTTTATTAAGATTGATAAAAAACAAAATACATGAAATGTACGTTACATGTAATAGACAACAATAGAATTTATTGTTCTATCACTTTCTATCACTTTAATTTATTCACAGAGGTATAAACACTTACATAAATATCGTACAGTTTGACAAATGGCGTTTTTATTCCTGTATGATAATTGACATTAGATTGGCAGTAAATGACGTTGGTTTAATCCCTTTGCCTATATCTAGTCTAAGTACCCATCACAAACGGAGCGAACTTTTTGATCCCTGATAATCTCGTTCGTACATTTTCCTCCATTTCTATTTCTCCGACGAACTGGATCTAATTTATTTCCAAAATGAATCCATCCTTAACCCCGGCAGCGGTCATAGTCCCCTCTTGGCTCTACTGTCTACGCACCGTGTAACCACCCATTCAGTAAGGGACTTCTTATTCTGACATCAAGGACGATGTTCATGTATATTGGATATTAATATAATGGGGCCATCTGATGTAAGCCCGAAATTGAATTTGGACAGAAAGAAAGGAATCAACACAGGCCGGACAACTAAACCTCTGATGACGGACAGACATGATGTGCATTTGAGTAAGTATTGCTCTAATTGTAAAAAAGTCTTTGTAGATTTTTTCCCCTTTTTTATATACATATTTAAAACTTTTAAAAAACGTCTATAGTTTTAAAATTTATAGAGTTGGCTTCCTAAAAAGTTTTAAGATCCTAGCTCACGAAAGAAGGATTTTATTCTTTTCAATTACTAGCTTGAAGTGAAATTTGTTAAATGAAGCTTTATTTGTGAATGCATACATTATAGGGAATATGTACCTACTAATTAGCGGTGCTTCATGCGCGGAAACAGAGTGAGGGATGGAGGGGGTTGGGGTTGCTAATTCATTCTAGACACTGATTTATTTTTGATTGCGCTGAAGAACTGTGCAAAGTTTTAAGAGCGCTAATTTATAAATGCTTACAGTATCACAGCATCAGTTTAAAAAATGTGTGCGAAACGATGCTGGTGACTTTCATTTGGTTTACAGCGCACAAGATATATGTTGCATCAAAGTTTTTGAATTCAGAGAATTTAAAACTTACTATAACAAGATTGATATGGTAAGTTTTAAAATCTCTGAA